AAATTACCAGAGGGATTATAACAAAATGACTCTTAGCCAGTACAAACATCTGACTTCCTACCTACCTACCTTTTTTCGTTCTGTTTTATAAATTAACCAATGATATTTATTTTTAAATGAAGGGAGTTTTTTAGAACAGATATAATGGTTGATCAAATAACCAATCCGATTGCTATGTTATTTTACGTATGATCATTTCTTATGCATTTTGATTTATGTAGGCGAAAAATCCTTGATATTCATGATGATGAAGAAAAAAAAAAACGAATTTTTTCTTTTTATTTTAGAGCATGAAATGCTTGCTCAAATCTTACATGATCTTTATATACCACAAGAATTACTTGATGAATTACCAGAAGATCAAAAACAAATACTTTTTTGTAAAATGCGTGAAGAACAAATACGCCGATATAATGAACGAGAAACAGGAGAAATAATAAGAACTAGTAATATAAATTTCAATATAGAAGAATTATTTAATGAAAATAATATTTTTTAGTAAATACAACTAAAAAAAAGAAACAAGTTACATTTCGACTTGATGCTGATGGTAATGAATGGTGTTGGATCATGGGTGAATCTTCGGAAAATTGTAATGAGCAATCTCATAATAGGTTAATAATCATCTTTATTAAAAATAAATTTCATAATAAAATTCAAAAGAAAAAATCTTTGGGTGTTTTTTTTTTGAATTCCATTTGTATTAATATGAATTCAAGGTTTGTTCTTTTTGTTTGAAAAAAAATATCCAGAAGAATAACTCAGTACTTTAGGCAGGAAAGGTACAGAGTGGTCGAGTGTCAGAAAAAAAGAACATTGCATGGGCGAATTTCAGAAGTGAGAGAGAATGGACGTTGAATCTCCGAAAATATTTCAGACACATAGACGAAAATTCCATATTCCATTGATCTGTAATAAATTAAAAACTAATCATCGAAATTCTTATTTATTTTTTGAAAACTTTTATAGAGCCAATAATGAAAATATGGAAGTTGAATATCAAAATGAAGATAAACAATTAAGGTAAATTAAATATAATCATTATTATTTTTGTTTTTTCTAATAATTTCTATAGAATCAATACTACTCATACTTCTAATTTTCCAGTTACAAATGGTGTTTTCTATACAGTACATCGTGATGAGTAAGTAATTCAAATTTAGTTTAATTCTTTTTTTCAAAATCAATAAATATAAAAGAAAAATGGAATATTGTACATTTGTACGATTTTATCTTCTATAAAAAACAAAAAAACCTGAACATATTTTTAGTGATATACAAAAAAGAAAATGGCATTCTATTTTATGTAAGTGTAGAATATTGCAAATAAACTTTTTTTTTTTTATACGAAGTAAGATATAAGCTTCATAGCTGAATATTATTTTGGGAAAGCCTTAAAATGATATATACGAAAAAAAAAAAATCTATCATGCTTTATTTAATAAATAAATTTCGATCAAAAACAAATTTCAATCTTCTAGACGTAAACAAATTGAAGAAATTTCAAATAATATTCAAGAAGCGCGTCGTATCTTTGAACGACTTGAATCAGAAACTCGACGACTTGCATTAGTATGTACAAAAATATAAATCATAATTGTATTATATGATATATATATATATATATTCATAGAGTAAAGAAAGTGAAATTTTTCAAAAACAACAACAACAACAACGTTCTCAAACTAATTTAATACCAATAAGTCAATCAGATTTTGTTGATGAAATATTCTATCATGAAATTGAAAAACGTGCAAAAAAAGCTGAACAAGAAAGACGTGAAGTAGCTCGACGTGCACGAGATTTATTTCATCGACAATCATCACAATTAAATATTGATTTTGATACAAATAATCAAACAAATTTTATTCTACAATCAATACCATTAAATTCATCTAATCGTACAATACCAATGAAAAAAAATGTTGAAATTGAACTTGATGAAAAAGAAATTCCTGCTTTTCCAATATTTACTTTTGATAATTCACAAAAATTAGAAAATGATCAACAATCAACATTTGCTACTGTTGAACATCAACAATCGTAAGAAAAATATTTTCATATTAAATCGATATATTTAATACATATAGTCTTATAAATGATGTCGAATGTGGTCAAGGTCTTTTATAGTTACGATAACGGTCAAGGTCAAACTTTGAATTATAATTCAAAGAAAAAAAAATAAATTTAATATGTAAATGAGATGTGTAATGTAAGAAAAGTATCTACAATATAAAACAGATTTAATCATCTGTATATATATATATTGACAATAAGAAATTGAAACTCTTGCTCATTTTTAATATATGATGAAGGTGAAAAAGTACATATAGATACATAAATACGTGTAATAAAAAAACATATACCGAATCTGAACGATTAAAACTATGAGTTAATGTTCTGCAATACATATGGTACAAAACCTGAATTCGACTAGCACTTTTTGTTCAACACCAGAAAGAGATGTGCAGTTTCAGTTTATCAATAATCACCCACTCAATGTAATTAGTACATATTGAAACATTGGAATACACTTTTACAAAAAGCACATATTTTGATAAAGTTGGTGTCTCAATGTTGCAGCGAACGCGGATGTCAGTTTCGCCGTGGACTCGATGTCGATCACTCACTGTTCAGTATTTATATCAACACTACATATTCCTAACAATGAGATATAATAAAACTTCTTACAAAAAGTTTCGGATCGAATAAATGAGTTTCGAATCACAAAAGATTTGAAAATCGAATTTCTTCAGAATTTAATAAATAATTATGAACACTTTCTTTTTTAATTTAGTAAACCATTATCATCAATAACACGTGCAGATATTCATCAATGGTTCTATACTAATGAAATACCTTATGGTACATTTCGTTCTTCAAATGGACAAATTTATCCATGGTTTCATGGTATGATTTTTTTTTTGTTTTGCAATATTTAATCAAATTTATTTTTTTTGTTTCTTCTCAGGCATTATCTCAAGAGCTTATACAGAACAGCTTCTTTCTTCCAAACCTGTTGGTAGTTATTTAATACGTGTCAGTGAAAAAATATTTGGTTATGTTTTATCTTATCTTGCATCAGATCATTGTCGTCATTTACTTATTGAAGTTACTCAACAAGAACATGCTTATCGATTTTTAGGTGGTGCTAAAAATGAATTATTTCAAAATCTTGGTCAACTTATTGAAAAATATACTGTATAAATTTATATGTGAAGAAAAATTAATTATATGTTTTAATTATTTTATTTAGAATACTCCTATTCGTTCAAATTCTACAGATGTTCTTCGTTATCCATGTGGTCAAATCGATTCTGAACAAACAGATTATGCTGATTTATTTATTGAAAATACTGAAAATGATAAATTATATGAATATTTGTATATATCACTTGATACAACGACATCATCACCACAGTCGACAACACATTTGTAGTCAAATATTATTTTTCATAGTGATCTATTTTTCTTTTTTTTTTTCTTTTTCTATTAATTATAAAAGTTCTGATGAAATATTTTTCTTTCCTTCTGTTAATCGAGTTCTCATGAATCGTTTCTTTTCTTTTCTTTTTTTTTGTACAAAGATAAAACATTCCATCGCGATTCGTCCTTATTGTTACTGTTATCATCAAAAAACTTAGGTGCAATTTTCATACTTTTATTTCGATTCATTCCATGTTAATATGCGATATACAAAAAGGAGAACGATATTATTTGTTTTCTTTTCGTTCTTTATTCATTTGTAGAACAGTAGAATTTTTTTTTTCTTTCTTTATTTGATAACTACTTTTGTTAGATACGGTTCTATTAATATTTTAAGAATATAATAAAACTATCATTATGAAATGTTCAAAAAATTGCTAAGATTAATCAGGTTTAAAATTGATTAAGTTGATATTTAGTCTGGTTTAGCCATGTTTTTAATGACACA